GTTGTAAAGAGCAGAAGATCGAGTGAAGTAATGATCGGTCGAGACAATCGTGCATAATTATCATTCTATTAACCTGTTATTTCATTAATAATGCTTATCTTATTTTATTAAGTATTACAATATTATCCTAGTCGATCCTTCCAAATAGGATCCTACATTTATCCCTTTCTCCCCTTTCTCCTCGGATACCTTTCGAGAAATCGTAATCGATCGGATGCAGAGGGGCGTCAAGGGAGAGAGTCTTGGGAATTAAATTGCGTTATTGTGCTTAAGTGGACGTAATAAAATATCGATTCCTGTCTACCTCAGAACGAGAGCTTACTATAAATCGTTCGAGTATTTTTATTATGGAGAATTGAAAGTGGAAAGTGTGTTTTCTTAAGGAGGTTTCTTCTCGTTTCAGACGAACTCTGTCGGCCCCTGAACTGCAAGAAGAAGGACCTCTGTCTCCTTAAGGACACCTTCACTGCTGTCTGCGTATCGAAGAAGGAACTGGAGAAATCGGGGTAAGTGCTTCGATGTTATATCAACGATGATTCTGACAGAAAGAAATTATTCTGCAATTCGATTACAATTTCGCTTGATTTTATATTCGTTTTACTCGATTGTGTACGTGTCGTCTGACAATTCGAAATTCTAATTAGAAATTGCTTAATGCGAAACTTGAACGCTTCTCTGAGCTGTGAGTGAAGTATCCGTGGATTCAGTGGAGCCCCAAATTTCAACCTGCTCTTTGAATTAACCACTCTGTCTGTGCCAAAATATGCGGAAAGTCTAATAAATCTACGTTCTCCGTAATTTTCGTCTCCGAGGTACCTGAGAATCTTGATAGAATTCTTGAAAAGAAATTTTAATTAGAGATTAGCTAACTTGGAAGTTGGACCCCTGTCTGAACAGTGATTGACGTGTTCGTAAATCTAGCAGAACCCTAAAATTCGAACTTGGGAAGTGAAATTGCAAGTTGCTTTCCAAATTAGCAACAGGGACCTACCTGTGTTAAACTGTAGCGAATTCTGGCAAATCTTCGTTTATTCTGCACAAACTTCCTCTTTCAAGTACTCGAGAATCTTAATAGAACCATTAAATTTCTACTTAAAATCCACGAATTTCTTCACGACTCTAAAACTTAATCTCCAGTCGTGAGATCGTCTCTTTCGAATATTCAATAATCTAGATAAGATCTCGCGAAACAAAAGTTTTGGTTAGAGATTGGCTAGAGCGAAGCTTGGACTCTTCTCTGTTCAGCGATAGCCGAATCCATAAATCCGTGAGAATTCTGAGAGAAAGCAACTGCTTTTTAAATTATCTACACAGTAAAAGTAAGGATTTTTACGCAAAGGCTTCTGATACACGACAGATCTATCCGTGAATCGCATAGATCACTCGTGAAACATCGTTCACACGGAATAAAGTCTTCGACGAGTCGCTAAGACTCTACAGAGAGCTAAAAATCACCTGGATTACCCTCAGCAGTTCCCTCATATCCTATTCGTCACCGTGACTAGGGAGTGGAACCAATTTAGACCGATGGAGACCTCGCCCTTACCAATTCTATTGGATAGGTCACTACATCTGCGGGTAGATTTGCATGAATCACTCGCGGATCATCATTCACAAGGACCAAAGTCTCCGACGAGTCGCTAAAACTCCACGTAGAGCCAAAAATCGCCTGGACCACCCTTAGCAATCCCTTTATATCCTATTCGTTATGGAGACTGGAGAGTGGGGTCAACCTAGGTCGATGGTGACCTCACCCTTAACAATTCTATCGGATAGGTCACTACACTGCGGGTAGATCTCCACGAATTACTCGTGAAACATCATTCACATGGACTGAGGTCTTCAACGAGTCGCTAAGACTCCATAGACAGCTAAAAATCGTCTAGACTACTCTCAACAGTCCCTTCATATCCTATTCGTCATCGGGACTAGAGAGTGGGACCAATCTAGGCCCAATATAGTGACCTCATTCTCGACAGTCCTGTTAAGAAGATCCACAGGATATCAACAACTAGAAAAATAGTTGGACTACATCTGCAGAATCTTTCCCAGTCTTTCCAAGCGGCTATCATGAACCTAGGTCACTTGCTTAGCATACACCAAAAGACTGACCAGGTGACCAAGTATCCTCGCTCTTCCAACAAACCTACCTACACCGGAACATACGCGGAATCCAACAAATTCTCACCCGTGTCTCACGATTCAGTTGTTCAAAGTTCCCAAGTATCTCAACGAGAGTCCCAATAAGAATCGTGAAACTGGCATCCGGAACTCTGCAAAAGCTCTCCGGTTGCGAGCTGAATAACCGAATGGAACGTACTCAGAAATCAATTTAATCGGGTGAAACTTGGCGACGTTACCCGATCTGACACGTTACGCGAAACGTAGAGTCGCGCGGAGCTCTCTGTGAACTCGGGAACAGGACCGGGTGGATGGAACACCGTCGAAATAAACAGTTCCGTCGGAATTAGTCGTTGGATCGACAGACTCGTTGACGCAGCCACGACGGATGATTAACGACGATATTATCCGCGAACACGGCATTAAACCCGGCAGACCGTGGAGCGCGCGGGTGAAGGGGTCCGGTGCGAGTCGATCATTGATTTCCGAGCGTGCTTATTGCCAGTTAGCCGTGATTGCAGCTTTCCACGTGGATGTGGGGGCATTCACGCCGCCCCTGGAATTTATCTTGAACGGTCCGCGCGAGACATTAAACGGCCTTCATGGCCAATTAACGCGCAGACCGTGCCACGTTGCGCTGCTCTTCTGCCGTGGAACACGATGAACAATCGTCCATTCGAGGGCTTATGATCGGGGAATGATAACCGTGCGAATACGTTGCCGCGACACGTCCATTGGGATCAGTCGGGGTGTGAGTGATGGCTTCGAGTGGCGGTGCTGGCACGAGTGTCTTGCGATCTTGGGGAAGAGGTGTGCTCGGAGATGGGACTTTTGCCGAGGGAGTCAGCAGTGAACGAGAAATGATTAGGTTGGAGCGGCGTGAGGATTGGGGTATTTATGTCTGTCATGGCGCCGCGACTTTCGTATCTGTATCAGCAGCAGGATCCGCTGGGTTCTTGCCCCTGGGGTATATCCTTGTCATATTTTCTCGTTTTATACCTCCGTTCCTCTGGTAGGTTGTTAGCAGATTCCTGTTTGACGAGTTTTCCGTGTATTTCTTCTCTTCCTTTCTTTTCTACTCTCTGTCAAGTGTTTGGCTCTGATAGAGTGTTTGGTAGAACGATCAGTGATGTGGAAGAGGAAAGTTTAGACTGAGTACATCGGATAATCGCGTGAATCTGCAGAAGGAGATAGCTATGTCTAGTTTTGGGTAGGTTACTATTTCTTCTTTCCTCTTCTTCTCTTTTCCTGGCGTATGGGAACTGATTTATTTACTACTTTAATTAGGAACTAATAAAATAGTTGGTAAAATAATAAAATTGTTAAGAAAGGATGCTTGAGATCATATACAATGGCGTAGAATAGGAATGTTTAGACTGGGAACATCAGATAACCTCTCGTGAATGAGCATGATCAGCTATCTCTAATTTTATATATCTAGAATGAAAGCAATAGTGAGAACTATTGCAACAAAGGAGTACAGAACAGTTGTCCCAAACAGCATAAATAATAGTAAAAATTAAGGGATTGTTAGTATTTGAATCGTTATAACTTCGTTAAAAAAAATCGTACATAGACTTTTAGGGTGCCGTTATAAAGGATAGGGTTCCCCCTTTAATTCCATTACAAAATGAAATTCAAAAAAAATTTATTGCACTAGTAATAAAATTGTTAAGAAGGGATGCTTGAGCTGGTATACAATGACGTAGAAGAGGAGTGTTTAAACTTGAGACATCAGATAATCTCTCGTGAATGAACATGATCAACTACCTATAATTTTGTATATCTAGAATAAAAGCAATAGTGAGAGCTATTGAAATAGAGAGAGACATAACAATTGTTTCAAAAAGCATCAGTGGTCCATCGATGCCAGAATAATGGTAAAAATTAAGGGATTGTTAGTATTTGAACCGTTATAACTTCGCCAAAAACAATCGTACATAGACTTTTAGGGTGCCATTATAAAGAATAGAGTTCCCTCTTTAATTCCATTACAAAATGAAGTTAGAAAAAAATTTATTGCACTAGTAATAAAATTGTTAAGATAGGATGCTTGAGCTGGTATACAATGACGTAGAAAAGGAATGTTTAAACTTGAGACATCAGATAATCTCTCGTGAATGAACATGATCAACTACCTCTAATTTTGGATATCTAGAATGAAAGCAATAGTGAGAGCTATTGAAATAGATAGAGACATAACAATTGTTTCAAAAAGCATCAGTGGTCCATCGATGCCAGAATAATGGTAAAAATTAAGGGATTGTTAGTATTTGAACCGTTATAACTTCGCCAAAAACAATCGTACATAGACTTTTAGGGTGCCATTATAAAGAATAGAGTTCCCTCTTTAATTCTATTACAAAATGAAATTAGAAAAAAATTTATTGCATTCCGTAGAGTCAGTCGAAGTCAGAGAATTTTCGTCGAAAAGAGTACCTATCCCTCTTGCTCTTCAATCGAGTAAAATAGCATTTCTGGTAAAATTAAGTTTTGGATCGAGAAAATAGAGGCTTCGCTCTTTAAAACGAGCACAGGTTCATCTCTGTGTGATTTTTTTTAACGAAGTTACAGCGGTTCAAATTTCACCAATTTTCAACCCAAGATTTACAATCCCTTGATGCTAACAATGTATATTAATTTTAAGATTGATCGAAATTAATCCTAGAATCTAGAATCTAATAAGAACCCGTATATTGAACACCTTACAATACCTGAAAAACACCAAATTAATAAAAAGAATATAATCTCCACTGCCGGAGTTACTAATGACCTAACCTCGTAAAAGAGCCTAATTATAATTTTATTTAAATATATTCACTTGTAAATTATTGAGATATTACTTCTACCAAATTTCATCACAATTTTGGATATTTCTTAAAATGAAATACATTTTAAAAACTATCACATCCCATGAGACAAATGCAGAATACACACCAGCTTTATGACTTCGATGTCTCTGTCAGCCAGCCTTGTTTCAACAATGTATGACCCATTTCATACATTCTCCCCTTACTCTCTCCCTCCCTCTCCTTCGAATAAAATCCGACTCGATCCGACAATTTTTGCAAACGAATTACAGCAGACTTGCTCGACTCGTCGCTGAAATATTTATCGCTGTGAATTCTGGCGTTTTTCTCGTTACATCGAGGACTCGTCCATGTGCCACGTGTGTGAGAATCACGGATTGGCGAAATTTAAAAAGTTCGAACGGCGATCGACGAACGGCACAGTCCGACGCGGGCGAAAGGCCGGGCTTTTTCTACTATTTTCCACTTCCGACGCGGTGCAAGCGTTTAAAACACTCCAGGACAACCGGGCCACGAGCAGATTTCCGACATTGTTGCGACGCTCCGGGTTGCTCTGGAAAATTTCGAGCATTGTTGCAGCGACTACTGGGATAGATCGGAGGATTTTCCACGTCGTTTCTATGCTAAACAGACGCTGGGAAGACAGGGGATTCTCGCGACATCGTCCGAATTCGCTGGCATAATAATCCCGCGTTTGCCTCGAAATATCGTATTTACATCGGTTCCCAAAGTCCGATACTTTGTTGTCCGGGAGTAACAGGGCAAGTTTGATGCACCACGCGTGTGTGATAACCCTGTACAGTCCTACTATCAAACTTTACTTCGCCTATCCGAAATTATCAACATCCTGCACGGTTATCTGGCGCCATATCCAAAAATAGGTGTCTTATCCTAAAAATTAACCCTCTTCGTAAATACTCCATCTCGATTTCCCACGCTAGCAGACATCTTGTCTTACAAGGAGAGTGCAAGTCTTTTGGGTCATTGATTTAGATGATTTATAGATTTAGTCATCCAGATAAAGAAAATATATCGTTATAACGGCAACCAGTCGATAGTTTTCCAGATATTTATGATTATAGTTTTATTACTGCCATAATTACAGATTTATTTCGAATTTTTATCAAGTGCCTTTGTGGCCTAATGGCGATATACGAAAATTACTACGCTGGTGACAATTTTCGGAAGTTAATTATCAAGGTAGTAATTTTCATTTTCTTTTTAAATTATTATAAAATGAAAATTACTACCTTGATATTCAATTCAATTAATTGATATATAATAATAATTGCAATAAAAATTACTTATTGCTATAATAATTAATATATAATAAATTTATTATAATAAAATTAAAATATTAATATATAATTATGTATTATCTATTATATAAGATTATTGATTTTATGAATACATATATGTATATATATTTATGTTCCCATCGATTTATTAATAAATGAATAATTTAATAGATTATAATATAATTATTGTGCCTATATTTATTTATTTGTGCTTATATTTATATATATATTAATAAGAATAATATATAAATAATTATTGTGTCTATATTTATATATTTGTGACTATATTTAATTATATATTAAT